CAACTTTAAGACTTGTGGACTTCAACTCCCAGAATTCCTCAGCCAGCTTTGCTGGCTGAGGAATTCTGGGAGTTGAAGTCCACAAGTCTTAAAGTTGCCAAGGTTGGACACCCCTGGTCTAGACTGATTGGTGGAAGCAACTGTGACAAGATGCTGAGAATGACTGTTAGTAAAATGAGATGGTAGGTTTAACCTGTTGTGATTAATAAACTCAGAATGCAGGGTGTCAGGTTATTTATTTATTTATTTGCATCCCACCTTTATTATTTTAGAAGGTGGTGAACATATTCAACACATCTTCCTCCTCCTAATTTCCCCAACACAACAGTCATGTGAAGTGAGTTGGGCTGAGAAGAGAAGGACTGGATCAAAGTCACCCAATTGGCTTTCATGGCTAAGGTGGAACTAGAATTTCATAGTCTCCTGCTTTCTAACCTGGTGCCTTAACCAGAGTGTTATACTTGCCTAAATATTATTTTTATGATGATTGTAAATATATAAAAATCAGTTTAAATGGTTAAGATACAGGACTAGAAGTCATAGCCTCCTTAGGCACAGAATCCAGCTGGGTAACTTTGGGGCTAGTCCTGATCTCTCAATCCCAAGAAGAAAATGATAATATTTCTGAACCACCTCTGAAAATGCTGGCAGAAAAGCTACATAAACTTGTCCATAGAATTGCTTGAAGCTAAGACTGACATAGAACATAAATAAATACTTAATAATATATATTATACAGTATTCTTGTAAATTTTCTACTGTTTTAGCTTAAATGATCATTTTAACTGTGGTTCGACCACAGTTGCAAATAAAACATTTGTTATTCACCATGTTTATAAAGTTATTAAACAAGAGGAAATCTTCTTTGAGTTAATTTTGATTCTAGGCAACTTCAAGGACATATCTGTATCAGTGGTGGGATTCAAGATTTTTCACAACCGGTTCTGTGGGCGTGGCATGGCTTGGTGGGCATGGTAGGGGAAGGATACTGCAAAATCCCATTCCCTCCCCACCCCACTAACCTGCTTTTCAGCTCCGTTCTCCTGTGCAGGGCAACAAAAGAAGACCCAGCTGGGACTTGGGAGGCAGAGAGTAGATGGGGGTGGGGCCAGTCAGAGGTGGTATTTGCCGTTCTCTGAACTACTCAAAATGTCTGCTACCAGTTCTCCAGAACTGGTCAGAAGCTGCTGAATACCACCTCTGGTCTGTATTATGTTCTCAACAGTATCTCCAAAGTATTTTTCCATTATGATGTTCAGGGGTTTTTCCCCCCAGCAGTACAGTCTAATCTAGTATTCCTCAACTCTTAAAATGGGTGGACTTCAACTTCCAGAATCCCCAGGCTGACTGAAGAATTCCAGAAGTCCAACTATGGAACTGGTCTGACTACCATCCTAGTATTTCCTGGGATTTTCCCATCTAAATAATGACCAGGCATGATCCTGCTTAACTTTTAAACCCAAGCAAGCTCAGTCACCTGCTGAAGCTTGAAAAATCATTAGATTTGGCTAATATATCCCAATCATCACAATGACTGATTCACACATCACACTAAGTTTAAAAGAAGCAAACCACATTTTGAAGTAGCACAGTAGATGAACCCAATCAATTAGTAATATATGTGAACACCAAATTCTGTAGGGTTTTGGTATATATTCAGCTTCCTCTATGTATTCTTTTTAAATATTCAAAATAAGTTTGCATTGCAAAGTTCCCCAACCTTTTAAAACTAAAGACTTTAAGAAGAAATACAAAATCAAGAACACAGCAAACTTGAGGTTGAAACTGTAAGAGTCATATCATATACATGTGCCCACAATGCATGAAAAATACCAGTTATACAAATATAGTTAAATATAGCTAAAATTACATACACATGCATGGATATACTCTTTTTATTATTTATTGCCTCCTTCTAGCTACAGTCCCACTGTTCTTTGCCTCACTATTATCTTGTCCTTACAAGATACTTTTTACTACTCACAAATGTTGTTTCTTCTGCTGGGCAGGGAGACACAATTTTAAGCAAAACATTGCTCTACCTTCAACTGGCATTTTCAAAGTATCCTAGAATTGTCAAATGGAGCTCAACAGCATCCTTGGGATTAAAAATCTGTTGTGGGACATCCATTTGCTTTGAATGAATGAATGAATGAATGAATGAATGAATGAATGAATGATTCAATCAATCAATCAATCAATCAAATTCAACTTTAAGCAAAACATTGGTCTGTAGTCAATTGACATTTTAAAAATGTTCTAGAAATATCATATGGGGCTCAGTAGCATCCTTAGAATTAAAAATCTGTTGTGGGACATCCATTTGCTTTGAATGAATGAATGAATGAATGAATGAATGAATGAATGAATCAATCAATCAATCAATCAATCAATGACATTGAATGTTTAGGACCCAAAGAGATTTATTGAATCTATGGAATTTATGGACATTGCAGTTAGGTGCTTCTTAAGGGTGATCTGATTGTGCAAATTTGTATTTGGTGGCCTTTCCAAGCCCCTACTTGTTCTAACTCAAGTTGCTATCTCCTCCTTCTCAGTGATGTCTTCAAGCCCCACAGTTGGTTCTTCAAGCAGTTCCTCCATCCTTCCATTCTCCTCCTCTGTCTTTCCTGCTGTCAAACAAAAGAGTGCCTTTGCTCCTGTCATCCGACCCCAGGGGTCCCCTTCCCCAGCGTGCTCCACTGGCAATGGAAATGGGTTTAGAGGTAAGCAAACATCTATTTTCTTCACCCACCATTCTCCCAGAACTTCATCCCTATATACACCATAAGTTTTACTTCAAAGGTAATGGGGGGAGGGACCATGCCTCAACATAGACTTTGCACACTGGTCCTATGTGCAAAGCAATCCCCTAAAAATGATAGCAGAGTGTGGCACACAGAATTGTACCCTCACCTATCCCATTATCCTTCTTAGGTTTTTCCCACTGTCTTTGATTACACAGGAAGCCAGATCCTAACTAACAAAAAAATAATAAAAAAGAGTAGAAGCAGGAAAAGAAGATAAAATTAAAGTACACAAAGAAAAGAAAAGAGAAATAGAAGAATGAAACTTCAAATATCATTTATAGTATAAATACAATTATAAAGTTACCTCTTACTATGATTACAAAAAAAAAGCAGAATCTGAAATTGTAAATGAATTTTGTTCTGTTTTATGCAGAAAAGAGTTTTTGGTCAATTATTAATGTAAATACTGTTTTTTTTTTCCTAATCAAATAAGTTAATTTAGCCATCTTCATAGGTTCCTCATCTTTGCCAATTATTTTCTCCATTGTGAGTGGTATAGAAAATTTAAGGTAACTTTTCCTGTGATGTCAGCTTGCAAGAGCTGCTGTAATACCAAGAGCTTTTGTGAATTCTAGTTGTCTCATATCTGGCAAAATCTCAGATCAAAGCTATCCAAAATTTGTGAGCACAACAATCATTTCATTATTGTTTCCTTACAATATATGCTTTTTTAATTCCCTCCCAAAGGCTCTAAGTCACTTGCAAATAATCAAGTATAAAATAAAAGTAATCACCAACTGCAATGAAGAATCCCATCAGACATCAATCCTCAGGTCTTTCCGAACAGTCTGGCGTTAGTGATTTTCTTAAATATTGGGCTGTTCCAAAGTAATTATTTAATACAAATGAATGAATAAATGATCAAACTAATTTGAATTCCCAGAACATTGTATCAGACAATATAATAGCACCTGCAGCTGAGAAAACATCAATTTCTTTTTTTATATATAAAAAAGCTATGCCATATATTGTTTTGAAAGGTCATTACATAAAATGGATAGGAATTAAAAAATGCTGTTTATAGATACATCTAAAATTGATAACTTATATGAATAAATGCAGAAACACAACACTTCCATCTGCATTTAAATCACCAGTCAAATCTTTCCCTTTTTTCCCTTTCATTCATTCATTCATTGATTCAGAAAAAGGGGATTTTGTTTAGAAACCTAAGACCAAGGTTGGTCTACTAGTTGAATAGTTAAGGCACTAGCTAGAAACTAGTTTTAGTCCCCCTTAGGCATGAAAGCTGGCTGGGTGATTTGGGGCCAATCACCAGGAGACTGGGAGTTCTAGATCCTCCTTAGGCATAAAAGCTGGCTGGGTGACTTTAGGCATGTTACATTATCTCAGCCCAATTTACCTGCCAGGGATTTTGTGTGGAAAATAGGAGAAGGAAGGAATAATAGGTATGCTTGCACCTTAAATTACTTTAAAAAATAATAAAACAGGAAATCTTTTTAAAAATTACAGTGACAATCTCATGAATAAAGTCTGGAAAAATGGGTTGGGGGAGAGAATATATGTGAGTACATTGTCTTTCATGACAGTGTCCTCTCTCTTCTGCCATCTGTAGTCTTGTTGACTTCTCATATTTTAATTCAATTTTCAAAGAAAAGCATCCTGTAAAAATGGTTTCTCAAGCTGGCAAGCGAGGGCTGCAAATGATGAGAAAATGTGAAATAGAATATTCTGATACTTTCAACAACAAAGGAAATTTAAAAACACCACCCAAAGAAATTTGAAAGACGCTCTCAAAATAACTTCCTAAAATAAGGTAGAAAAACTGAAGTCTTTGGTGCAAGAATTTCCAATTTTGGAAATCAGAAGACAGATCTTAATTATCCTGTGCCTTTCTTACCCTTCCTCTTCCTTATTCCAGCCCCACCCCCACTCCAACAGCTCAAAAGGTGAGGTGCAGGTAGAGAAACAGAAGGGTCTGTTGTGTGACATGCTATAAATTGTATTCTCCAGCACTGCCTTATTGATTTTTTTCCCCCTGCCTCCCCTATTTCAGTCAACAGAACGTAAAGCAGTCCGTTGACAGAAGTCTGTAGGCATTTCCAAAGATCAGACTTTTGCCAACTGGGTAATATATGCCTGGGAGCTTTGCTCCAAATCTCAGAAGTGACATGATCTGCCTCGGTGCTCACTGTACAGATTGAGGCTGGCAAAGCAAACAAAAAACAAAAAAACAGCAGTTCTCAAGCTAGAGATGCTGTTCTTTCAACCTGCCACAGTTGCTTGCCTTCAAGGCTACCTAGCTCTCCACCAAATATGATTAGTGCAGAAGTAACAGAGAAAGAAGCTTCCAGTTTAAACCCTTGAGGGTATATATATATAACAATTCTTGGCGTCTTTATCTGGCTGTAGGCTTTCAACTGTTGTGAGTGTAGCTTCCTTCTTGCCTCCCATAAAGACCCTAATGTATCTTAGCCTCCGATGATTCTTCTGCCAAGTCAAGTTGAGAAGCTGAGCTAAGGATGAAGTGTCAGTCTGTCAATGATTTATTGCTGTGTCCAAGGGCAAAGCTTCCCTTCTGAAGGAAGCATCACAGGGTGGGGGCTGAACATTGCCCTCTTTCTTTGCTTGCTTCAAGGCAGGGGGCATCTGCACATGTGCAGAAAACCATGGCAAGGCCAAAGATGCCAAAGCAGAGCAAAGCAGCGACTCCAATTTGAAAAGTAAAAAAAGTGAAAATGCCACTTTGCTTCACAGATCTGCTCCAATGCAGTGATTTTCAGTTGAATCAAGTCATTCCAAAGAAGCTCAGCGTGGGCCCTGAAGATGTAACTTTCTCCAGGCTAAGTGACATGTCAAATTAAATCGAATACTTATCATTGTCATAGAGCAGTATAAAGAGGACAGGGTAGATGCAATTAAAAAATATAATAGATATGTCAAGGTCTTGGTAATAACAATTTTAAAAGCTGAAATATTTAAAAGTGAAAGTTTATATAAGAACAAGAGTCTAAAAAGAATACAAAAGCAGGAGCTTTAGTAGGGGAGCATCAAGGTTAGAAACTGGCAGACTATATGAAATTATAGCGCATTCTAATATGATAAATTAAATGCTGATTTAATCTAGTTTACGGTACATCATGTAGCTTTCTCTAGCCTAAATAACATGTTTATACTGAGGACTGGAAGAAAACATAGGAGTCCAACTCCTGGAGCCATCTCACCTAGTACTACTGACACTGGTGAGTGCCAGGGGTGGGATTCAAAAATTCCAGCAATTGGTTCTCTGCCTGGTTGCTGGGTGGCATGGCCATGGTGGGCGTGGCCTACCAGAACCTCCTGTTTCTGGCGTCCGATGGGCCTCCAGAACCCGAGGGAGGCTGTTTCTGCCCTCCCAAGGATCCGGAGGCTTCCCCCGGGCCTCTGGAAGGGAGAAAACAGCCTCCCCTGGCTTCTGGAAGTCCACCAGAAGCTGGAAACAGGCCTGTTTCCAAACTTCCACTTTTTCTGGAAGGCCCGTTTTTTTCCCCCTCACAGAGTGTCCGCATGGAACCTGCACTTACTTCCATCGGAAATGGGCTGCGTGGAGATTCCTGGGAGGGACGGAGTGGGCGGGGTGGGGCCAGCCAGTCAGTTGAAATACCGGTTCAGCGAACCAGATGTAACTTCAACATCCGGTTTGCTCGAACTGGTCCGACCTGGTAGAATCCCACCTCTGATGAGTGCCATCTTTCCAGAATTTCAAAGGAACTTTTCGCACATTCTCTGCAGATAGAATTCAACCTGGAACCTTTGGCAAGCAACAAAGGTTGTAAATATCCATGTGTGAGGTCTCCTCTTTGGTCAGGAAGCTCATAGGTACCGACCAAGTTTACCTGGCCTCTGCAGTGATCCAGATGTTTATGTGTTTATCCTCCTCCTTTTTTTCTCTAACATTAGGTCAGACTTTGAAAGCTCAAAGCAGCCTAAGACCTAGTGAGATAATCAGAGTGTTGTGTCCAAGCTTCCACCTGCCATCTTGCACACAAGGTAGAAATAGGCATTAGGTTCTCTACTTCTCAATGATATAAGCATCCATTTAGAACAGGGGTGGGCAGCTATGGCAATTTTATGACCTGTGGACTTCAACTCCCAGAATTCCTGAGCTGGCATGGTTATCATAGTTGTCCATGCCTGATTTAGAGCAGAAATCCCAGTCGTCTTCAGAATCATAGGGCTGGGGAAAGGCAGACCATGCTATTGTTTAGCACCAGGCATGGAGTTCTTCACACATGCTAGAAGTGAGCTGAGCATACCCCAGGACAAACTTAGTTAATGGAATTATGGATTTTTGCATTCTAAAAGCAATCTAGGTTAACAGTTCCATTGTTTGGCCATGCTAAAGTGTAAAAATGGATAGTAGTAGCATGTAATTTAATATACTTTCTGGAAAGAGAAGAGAAGACAACAGCACGAAGGGTCATGCAAATTCAAGATCTCCTTGCAGCTTCCTAGAGACATCACCTAAGTAGCTATTGTGTCAAGAGGACGTTGGATTAGGTGAACCAGTCTGGATTTTCACCTGTTCTGCATAGCATTTGCATGATTTTATTACCAATCCTTGATGAAGAATATGCTGCTTGATGGTTCTCATTAATCTTACCCAAGGGAGGAAATCTATTTGAAATTTGGCTCCCTGAGTAGTGTTGGGAAAGACATGTGGATGCCCTTAGATGACCTGTCTGATGCCAGGCATTCCTGCTTTACACTCCCTGCATGCCATCTGCTCTACTTATTTTTTTTTTTGCTCTGCATCCAGGCAAGGTAGGTAGGAACAGTAGGGCCTCATCTTTGTCAGCAACCCCAAATTGATTGCAGGTGTCCTGATCGGAGAAGCCTGGCATTGATTTTGCCCTGGACGTTGAGCCTGCTTAAAAATAGTGTGGAGAAGATGTAATGTGACATGACACAAAGCG